AAAGCCAACCAGCCACTTTCATGCCTAAGGCAGGACCATATGTCATGGTTCCTAGGTCAGCACCTTAACCACTAGACCAAATTGGTTCTACAAGTAATTGTAGACAATATTACTTTGAAGTTAAAAAAAATTAAAAAGAAACCCAATATTGGAAGGACAACTTTACACTGTCTTATCCAATCTACATGGCTGCAGATTTTAGACATTCCATATAAGACTTTAATCTAAAAGGCATGCCTTAAATACCATTGATGATGAAGTTTAATTGCCTGTCTGTTCTTCTGTCTGGATACTTCCATCAGTGCAGTTATTTCTGCTTCTTACTTGAATATCTGGATTGTTAAAAATTCTTTTTGATTTTCATAAATCAGGTTCCTGGATTGGGTGAAGACCTGTATGTGACAAGAATTGATTGTCACTTGATGCATTGAATTCAGGGTGAACAGAAATAGCAATACAGGAGAATTTATGGCATGGTCAGTGGATGCAGTCCCATTTTTTAGGTGCTTAAAAGTTTCATGGAGTCCAGTCTGTTCAGTGCTTTGGATTTATCTGACTTCCTGTACCTTGTAAAGCAGTGTGTTAAAGTTGCTTGTTTTGTTTCCATACTGAGAGACACACTTGGCCTTTGAATTGGTTACTAGGTGTGTACTCTAAACCATAGGTAGATATAGGACAAAAACTAAATTTAAACATAGTATTAAACTAGATTAATTAAAAAATAAGGTAGTCCTTACATATTTAATAATTTTTGTATTCTCATGTTTTAAAAACTTGGTAGCACCTTCTGAAGGACTCTGCATCCAAGACCATATGTCACTTTAGGATTTAAGGAAAGAATTATGAGCAAGTGTGTTGAACAAGAACAAACTTTTTGTTATAAATGTATTGTCTTTTTAATGAATTTTATGCAGACCTAACTGTTTTATCTCTTTTTTTCTATTTTATAAAGATCGAAGTTCATGCTCCCTTAGGCACACCAGTTGGGTATGTTAAACAGACCTGGGATCCTTGTTTGCCAAAATTTGTAATCCAGAATGAAGCCCGAGAAGATGTACTCAAAATTGTTGGGCCCTGTGTAGTCTGCAGCTGTTGTTCAGATATTGATTTTGAGGTAAATTGACACCAGAAGTTCATATTCTACTTTTTAAGAGATTAATCAGTAAAACCCTGTCCGTTTTATTGCTTGGAAAATGGCTTGATGGCATAGTATAAATCTTATAGTTCTTCTGTATGGAATTATTACTAGTTTGAGAGAAATTTCCAGTTTCAGGGGGGAAAAGTCATACATAGAATGACTTAGTATATTCAGAAAGCATCTTCTTTTTGATAAAATGGAACGAGGAGTAAGAAATATTTTAAACCTTCTGAATGTTAGACTAACTTGTTTTAAAATATCTTAAAACTAGTACTGTTTTAATAGTATTGTAAACATTTCCTAGGACTATTGAATATTGATTTGGTTTCTGAAGATATTTCTTTACATTTATTTCATTATTGCACTATTTTTCTTACTGACTTGAAAAAGTGATATCTGCTTCAAGATACTTGAATTTTCTATATTGTAAAACATTTTCTCTATTTTTCCCCCCAAACTAGGTGTTATCTTTAGATGAAAACAATGTTGGAAAAATTTCCAAGCAGTGGACTGGTTTTGTCAAGGAGGCTTTTACAGATGCTGACAACTTTGGAATCCAGTTCCCAATGAATCTTGATGTAAAAATGAAAGCTGTTATGCTTGGAGCTTGCTTCCTTATAGTAAGTATAATATTCTTAGATACTGTATTATTCACTAATTGTGTAATACAATAATAGGTTTTTAGTATAATATACCAGTGGAATTCCTAACAGAATCTACTATAAGAGCTTGAACAGAGCTTGTTTTTGAACCATCAGGATAATTGCTAAATTCTTTTGACTGCCAGAGGAGGCAATCTAATTATCTCAAGTGTTAGGTTTGCTAGCCAGTTCTGGAAAGAAACTTCCAAATTTGTAAAGCACACTGCATTAGATAAAATTCTTAAGGCTATGGAATGGGCTGCCAACAGAGTTACAGTTTTAAGGATGGAAGCAGCACATGTTGTAGTCTTCTCTATACTTTCCAAACTCAACACCCCTTAGATTAGAGATATTGGCATCCATAGCCCCAATAATTCCTCAGAACATGAGGTTTGGGGAAGTTATCCTGTGGTATGTCGATTTCGATGAATCCTACCATAAGGATTTTCTCATTAAAAGAAAACTGCTGAGTAAAATAGAAGAATGTCTGAATTTTAGCAAGCAATTTACTTAATTATTCTCTGTTTGTTTGTTTTTCTTCTCAATAGGATTTCATGTTTTTTGAACATTCAGGACAAAATCGGCAACAACGTGCTGGGGTCTGGTAACAGAGTATAATCTTCATTGTAGGAACTTCCAGTGAAGCAGTTTCATCATTTTTATTTTCAATGGATGTCTCTTATAAGAGATTTTGATTAAACATTCTTTTTCTTTTGCCTTCAACATCATAGGGTTTCAAATTACTTCCAAATTATGAAAGCTATTTTAGAATTAATAGTTCATTGAAGTGATTATATTTTTATATTAAAAGTGAAATCTTACTCCTGTGTCCTCAACATTTTTTCAAATAGCGCTAGTGTTAAATTTTGTATTGTAACTTGAAGTAGTAATCAAATTTATATTTTGTACATAGTGAATATATAAAGTGGATTTTTAAAATAAGGTTTTTGTGTTTTGAGTATTTTTTAAATAGATCACATTTTCCATTACAATACACATTGAATTTGAGAGTGTCTAAGACTGAGTGTACAGGATTCACTTCATTAAATAACCATCAATTGGTAAATTTCTGGTTTCAAGAACAATTTTAGCAAAAGATGAATTGTTCCTTAATAAGATCTTAAAGATCATCAATATAAATAATGCCTACCATGTGAGATATGGAGTATTGACGTTCTAATCATTTCTAGTAAATGAAAGTAGAGTCTACCAAGGATTGATATTTTTTTTTTAAGAAAGAAGACCTTATTCTTGCTCTATGTGCTAAAATGCAATCTAGATTATTTTATGGACTTTGCACCCTCCCTTTAAATTGTATCTGCTTTTTGACTGGGTCATGATAAAACATTGTAAGGAAAAGGTAGCTACCTAACCTGATGTTATCAGAGTTGTGACCATTACTTGGAGAATTCCATTATTAATCAAAGTAATGTGCATTATGCTTCTTAATAACTCATCTTCTAAATGACTTTTTTGGTAATCAAAGGGAATCTGGAAAATAATTAACCCTTTGGCAACTCTTGTTCAGACTAGGAGGGAAGCTCCAACTCTGCTTAATCAAAAAAAAATTTCCTTTCATTGTCCCTTTCTCACTCTCTTTTGTTACTGTTTATCACCTTTTGATCCCACACATTTTATTTATTATTACTTCTTTATTTTACTGGATTTATGGGCTGTTCCAATTTTGAGAGAGTCAGTGCAGACTGCCTGTACTAGCATAACTTTTGCTTCAGGATAGAAATTCCTGGAAAAGGAAATGGAAAGTTCCATATTTTGTAAATACTGTCCTCTCTCAATAGCTGAAATCACTCAGAAAAAAATGCAGATAGGGACAGATAAACCTACCCTTTTCTCATCACTTGGTACATTTTTTGCATGCTCATTTTGACATGCCGGCATTTTGCATGTCAAAATGCCGGCCCACAGGCCAGTTTCATCATACCAAAGCACACCCACCCCCATTGCCGGCAATGCAAAAAGAGTCGTGATACGTTGCGACACGTCACATGACCTGGCAAATTTGACACCCGTGCTCTAAAAGAAAACTTCTTGCAGTTAGATCATCTCCCACTGGAGTTGAAACAACCAGTGTGACTATCAAGTGTCTCTCATGATTAAATATTGTTTATAAAATCATTAAATATTATTTGTGGTACATTCCACACCTTCTCAATTGTTTATTATTAGACTGTCCTTAGAAATTGTCAATAAATTGAATATGAATAAATTTATTATTCATAGTTTTGCTTTTAGATGTTTAAAAAGTATAGGCCTATTTAATAATTTATACTGTACAGGAACCAGCACAATTAATGCTATAAAGTTTATAATAATTTATTTAAAATGGATTTTTAAATAAAATTATGAGTTCTAGTCACTTTTTGCACCAAGTACCAAACAAAGCGAGAAAATTCTGGTTACTGTGGCTTTTTATCATACTTTTAATTGTATCTTATAAGAAATGATATTTTAGCCCCAAAAGACTGGGTCTTTGTTGAACCCTGGACTGCAAAACTTAACATATTTGAAGATTATTCTATTCCTCTCTAAATAGGATATTGTATATTTTGCTCATGAAATGCAACATATTGCAATATTACAGATTAGTTGTCAAAAATAGATCATGCCAGACAAATCTTATTGCATTCTTTGACCAAGTGACAAAATTAGTGGATCAGAAGAATGCTGTGGATATAATTTACTTGGACTTCAGTAAGGCATTTGACAAAGTATATCACAACCTACTACTCGATAAGATAGAAAAATATGGGTTAGACAGCATCACCACCAGATGGATTTGTAGCTGGCTGACCGGCCGTACTCAGCGTGTGGTCCTCAATGGAACCACATCTACATGGAGGAAAGTGTGTAGTGGGCTGCCCCAGGGCTTTGTTCAAGCCCAGTGCTCTTCAAAATCTTCATCAACGATTTGGATGAGGGGATAGATGGGGAACTCATCAAATTTGCAGACGACACCAAGCTGGCAGGAATAGCCAACACTCCAGAAGACAGGCTTAAGATACAGGAGGATCTGGACAGTCTTGAACACTGGGTGCTATCTAACAAAATGAAATTCAATGATGAAAAACTAAGGTTCTACATTTAGGCAAGAAAAACAAAATGTACAGGTATTGTATAGGGGGGGGGGTACCTTGCTCAATAGTAGTAACTGTGAGAGGGATCTCGGAGTCCTAGTGGACAATCACTTAAATATGAGCCAGCAGTGTGCTTGTTGTTAATTGCGAAGTCGTGTCTGACCCATCGCGACCCCATGGACAACGTTCCTCCAGGTCTTCCTGTCCTCTACCATCCATTTAAGTTCACACCTACTGCTTCAGTGACCATCCAGCCACCTCATTCTCTGTCGTCCCCTTCTTCTATTGCCCTTAATCTTTCCCAGCATTAGGTCCTTCTCCAGTGAGTCCTTCCTTCTCATTAGGAACAGTGTGCTGCAGCTGCCAAAAAAGCCAAAATAGTGCTGGGCTGCATTAACAGAGGGATAGTATCAAGATCACATGAAGTATTAATACCACTTTACAATACCTTGGTAAGGCCACACTTGGAATACTGCATCCAGTTTTGGTCACCGCGATGTAAAAAAGATGTTGAGATTCTAGAAAGTACAGAGAAGAGCAACAAAGTTAATTAGGAGACTGGAGGCTAAAACATATAAGGAACGGTTACTGGAATTGGGTATGTCTAGTTTAACGAAGAGAAGGATGAGGGGGGACATTATAGCAGTGATAACAACCTGCCTCTAGAAGCGGTGAATGCTCCAACACTGGAAGTTTTTAAGAAGAGACTGGACAGTCATTTGTCCGAAATGGTATAGGGTTTCCTGCCTGAGCAGGGGTTGGACTAGATGACCTCCAAGGTCCCTTCCAACTTTATTATTATTATTATTATTATTATTATTATTATTATTATTATTATTATTATTATTATTATTATTATTATTATTATTATTATAGGATTATTCTCTCCTGTCACATCATAATAACTATAAATAATTAAGGCTTCCTTTGGAAGCTATCAAAAGTGTAATTACTTCAACCTGCAGAAGGCTATCGCAAAGAATTCTCCTTCTAAGAATTGCTTTAATTTTTGTTTCCCACCACACTTCATGGGTCATACCTGACAATCTACAGAGCAACAATAAATGCTATTTTCTGTTGAGTTACCAGTCAGTTTACACAAAGTATTACACAGTCATGATGATTCGTAGCTGGCTGACCGGCCGTACTCAGCGTGTGGTCCTCAATCGAACCTCATCTACATGGAGGGAAGTTTGTAGTGGGGTGCCCCAGGGCTCTGTTCTGGGCCCAGTGCTCTTCAACATCTTCATCAACGATCTGGACGAGGGGATAGATGGGGAACTCATCAAATTTGCAGATGACACCAAGCTGGCAGGAATAGCCAACACTCCAGAAGACAGGCTTAGGATACAGGAGGACCTGGACAG